TTGAGAGTTTTGCTGGGTATAATAGTCTGGGTTGACATCCGTGGTCTCTTAGTGTCTGCATGAGGTTTGTCCATGTTCTTCTAGCTTTCATAGTCTCTATTGAGTAGTCTGGTGTTATTCTGATGGGTTTGCCTTTATATGTTACTTGATCCTTTTCCTTTGCAGCTCTTAATATTTTTTCTTTATTCTGTGTGTTTAGTGTTTTGATCAAATGAAGATTTTTAAATCATGAACTATAAAAGAAACATAAAACCCCCCATTTTAAAAATGTTTCTCAGTAGTTTATCCTTGTCTCATTTTGATAAATATGAAAATCCAAGTATGCTCCCTCTTCCCTAGAGATTCTTAGCCAATATCCACACAGGCTTTCCTTTAGATTTTTCTCTTCATGTTATACATGACAAAGTAATCATTTACCTTTCATTTAAAAATATTATGATGAGCCAGGCAATGGTGGCACACACCTTTAATCCCAGCACTTGGGAGGCAGAGGCAGGTGGATCTCTGTGAGTTTGAGGCCAGCCTGGTCTACAGAGCGAGATCCAGGAAGGGCGCAAAGTTACACAGAGAAACCTGGTCTCAAAAAAACAAACAAACAAAAATATATGATGAAAGAAAACACAGAGGAAAGGGTAAGGATAAGGGATAACTATTACTAAAAATATTTGAAGAAGCCATTGGGAATTATATTTTGCTTACTTAAAATTGGATATATGTTTATGTGTGTGCATGATTTATGTCTATTTATATGAATATATTATAAACATATATAATATATTTAGTATGTTACACCACTTGAGGAGACAATGCTCCCACAAACCATAGACTGTCTAACAAGACCCCCAAGGTCAAGCATGGGAGACCTCCTTTAGGAACTGTTGGTCAGAGGGGTCCAAGAGACCCCAAAAACAACATGAACTCTTGCTATCACCTTTGATACCCTCTAGAAAAAGAAGCCAAGACTCTATTACTAAAGATAGGACATATTTTGAACAAAATACTTGGGAGAATTGATCTGCATCTGAACTTGAAACTTCCTCCCTGACAACTAGCTGTCATACTATCTGAAGGAGCCATGTAAGCTGCCAAGGGAAAAAACTCAATAGCTATGTAAATATAATCAATACCTATGAACCACAACAATGTTAAGAATAGTAAGATATTCTGATAATACTGGTGCTTACATCCTGAGGGAAACCAACACTCACCTATTTGCAAGTAAGGTCTGTTCAATAGGAGGGATTCATACCTGACACTGTAAACTTAGCAAACTACCCATGGCTAGTGAGGCCATGCAACCTAGAGAACCTGCTACTGCAATTTTCCTAAACTAGTATAGTTTCTTTACTTAATGAGGAGAGTGCAAATGCACTCTCCCACTACCACAAATTATGCAGTTGAGTTTATTATTTGGGGGAAATCTCAGGAATCAGCACACCCAAAGTACAATGGGTGAGCCTTATCCTGGGAAAACACCTTCCTGATCATGGTGTCTCCCCTGCCAGGTAAGGATGTGAACAAGTATAATTTTAACTGAAGTCTGTATATTTATCCTTATCCCTATAGGAAAGTGTAGCTCTCACCTCTGGTATTAATCAATTAGTCAGGTGTTCTAGAGCAACAGAACTCTAGATAGATAGATAGATAGATAGATAGATAGATAGATAGATAGATAGATAGATAGATAGATAGAGTGATTGATTGATTGATTGATTGATTGATTGATTGATTGATTGATTTAATTTATTAGAGTGGCTTACAGGCTGTGGTCCAGCTATTCCAACAATGGCTGTCTACCAACAGAAAGTCTAAGAATCCAGTAGTTTTCACTCAGCTGGTCTTCACTATATGCTAAAATTCCAAAGAAGTAGGCTCTAATGCCAATGAAGGAATGGAGTTGCCAGCAAGAGTGAGGGCAAGCAGGCAAGAGAGAGCTTCCTTCTTCTATGTCCTTTGTATGGCTGCCACCAGAAAGTGTGGCCCAGATTAAAAGTAGACCTTCTCACCTTAAAAGATCCAGACTAAAAGTGAGTCTTCCCACTTAAAATGATTTTAGGAAGAAAAAATTCTTCACAGATGTGCCAAGCTCAGGTTTTAGTTAATTCCAGATGTAGCCAAATTGACAACCAAGAATAGTCATCCCAAGTCCACCCCTGTTAACTTGACACACAGGCATATCTCCTTATGTCACGTTTAATTTCCCAATGAAAATAATAACCAGGCCTGGCAGGCTCTGCAGGAACAGACCAGCTCTGTCCTAGGTCCCTAGACTTGGAGCAGGAAGAATTTACTATGAGCCCCCCTGGTGCCTCTGGTGCTGGGCTGTCTGACACCATTATGCTCTCTCAGCAGAATCATCTTACCAGTCCAGATGTCTGGATAAATACCTTTTGTTTGAAGCCACATACATACTGTGTCCTGGGAGAGAAGATAGGACCTGCATAGCACAAGTAAGACTGAACAGAGACAATGATCGAAGTGTTGGTCCTGGGCTCTCTACCCTGGGCCCGAAAGAGAAAACACAGGCCTACCCAGTGCCTGAAGGGCTCTATCATGGTGAGCAAATATATATAGGTTATGGAAGAAAGAGAAAGAGAGACAGAATGGTCCATGTGAAGAGAGGTAGATCTGAAGAGGTGAAGGCAATGAGAAGCATGGGCTGAGGTGGGTGGCCTACTTGTCGCCTGGGGCCATGGTGCTGTTCAGGTCTGAGCTGTGGCCAAGAGCCATGTCTGCACCTGTGGCCCTGCTGCAGGCATGGTCTGTGCTGATGTCCTTGGTTCCCGTTACCACTGAAGGCCGAGAAGATAGGGCTGCACAGAATTGGATCCTCCCCTCCCTGGCTGCAACACTGGACAGAACTGGTGGGTCCTGTACCTCATCTGGGCAGCATGACAGAGCTGACCCTGTGGGCAGGGGTGTGGGCAGGCTAGCCCTGAGGGAACGAGAGTGGGAGGGCTGATCCTGCGCCCCCTTGTCTGCCGTGTGGTGGTAAGGTTGAGGGAAAGATCCCCCTCACCCATGCACCTTGGCACTTCACCACCTGTGGCCAGCAGGAGAGCTGCCCCTGCCCCTCACCACCTGCAGCACGAGGGAGAACAGGCCCTGCACCTTGCCTGGGCAACACAGTGGACTGGACCTGTAAGTGAATCCATGAGAGTCTGTTAAAGGATATCAAGGATTTATTAAGTTATAAAATGGGGACAAATAAACTCACGGTACAGGACAAAGCAAACATCCGTCATAGTCCTCTGGTCTGGCTGGGGGTGAATGGAACCAGCCATCCAGTCTCTGACCACCAACAGACACAGAGAGAGAGAGAGAGAGAGAGAGAGAGAGAGAGAGAGAGAGAGAGAGAGAAAGAGAACCCCCTCCTTGGTTTTAGGCAGTCATGTACCCAGAAAAAAAAAAAAAAAAACACGCTTCTATCAGGCCAGATACCCCAAGGTCATTGGCAGAGTGAATTCCTACAACACTTCCCCTTTCTGCCTATATAAGAAGGTTCTAACCCTAATACAAAGTTAAATACAATAAGAACAATTATCAAGCATTATCTAGATGAAAGAAAGGGTAAAAACATAAACAAAAATGGAAATACAACCAACAAGAACAACATCAAGCAAGAAACACATACTAAATGTCCAGGCCAAAGGTAACTGGAGAGTTACAGAGATTGTTCCAATAGCTCTCCTATCCTGAAGATTCTAAGTCTAGTACCTGATATGTTCTTAGCTATAAGATATGAAAGTATTGTCACTGTAACTATCTAGTCTCCAGAAGCAGGAAAAATTGAAAGACTGTCCTACCCTGTCTCGGCAAGATTCAGCAGTCGCTTTTTCTTGTGTCCTTCTCATCCAGAGTGAACAGCATGCTTGCTGTCAGCAGTTGAGGCAAGGGCAGTTCTTTGCCCAACAGGCCACTTACGCCAAGAAGAAGACAAGCTCAATATGAAGTGTCTTTGAAGCCCAGCATCCTCTCGGGAATAGACCAGTGCTACCAGGAGCAATTGTGTCTCACATCAACAGAATTCTAAGTTACTAAAATATTTAAATGTCATATTCTCTGGGTCTATGAAGTGTTTGAAGATTACCTATCCATCTAACATATAATCTCTAGGAAACCTAACTAACATAACTATGACAAGCATGGGTGATTTACTCTTATCAACCTATATAACTTAAAGGCTAAGGCTTCACATTATAAAATTGAACAGCCTGTAGACAGATGTGCAGTATAGGTACAATGACCTTGAAGTTGTGACAATATACAAAAATATCTTAAACCTAGGTAGAAATGTGCAGTGCAATATGACAGCAGACCTTGTTGACAGGGATGCAGGTGGGCTGGCCCTGAGAATGTGAGTGTGGGAGAACTGGCCCTGCCCCTCATCTGCTATACGGTGGTGTGAACAAGGAGGAGAAGTCCTCCCCTCCCCCACTCCTCACTACCTTTGGCTGGTGGAAGGACTGGCCCTGAGGTCAGGAGAACCAGTGAGCTAGCCCCGCATCTTACCAGCTGCAGTACTCAGGAAAACAGGCCCTGCACCTTACCTGAGCAACTCAGTAGAGATGACCCTGCTGCTGATGGTGGTGCAGGTGAGCTGACCCTGAGGGCATAAGTGTGGGAGATCTAGCCCTATTTCTCATCTGTCATGGAGCATGGGTGGGGGAGAGATGCCCTGTGGTGACATATTGTGTACCTTAATAAACCTTGCCTGAAGATCAGAGGACAGAACAAGCCACTAGATTAAACATAGAGGCCAGGAAGTTGTGGTACACACCTTTAATCCTAGCCTGGAAGGCAGAGATCCATCTGAATCTCTGTAAGTTCAAAGCCACCCTGGACTATGTGAGACTGGCTCAGTCTAGGAGAGGAAACAGATCCAGGCAGTGGTGGCACACACCTTTAATCTCAGTACTGGGAGGCACACACGCCTTTAATCCTAGGAAGTGATGGCTAAGTGAAGAAAAGTATATAAGGCGTGAGGAGACAGGAAATAAAGGCTTCTCATCAGAAGCGTCCCTTTCAACTAGAGGCTTTTCAAGCTACGGAGTCCTAGAGGTAAGATGTAGCAGTGACTTGTTCCTTTGTCTGTCTGATCTCTCAGCATTTACCCCAATATCTGGCTCTGCTTTTTTTTTTTTATTAAAAGACCATTTAGAATTCAAGTTACAGTGCCCCCCCACCGCCCCTCACCCCTCACTATCTATAGCACTCAGGAGAGCAGACCCTGCACCTCACCTGGGCACCATAGTAGTGCTGAACCTGCTGGTGAGGGCACAGGTGAGCCTGCCCTGAGGTCATGAGAGTGGGGGAGCTGGCCCTGTACCCCTTGTCTACTATGTGATGTTCAGGGAGAGGGAAAGATGCTCTCCACCACCTTGCTTCTTGCCACCTGCTGCAGACAAGAGAACTGACTCTGCCCCTCACCAGACACAAAACTAGGGGAAGTGGGCCCTGCACCCCTCTTGGGAAACACAGTAAAACTGACCCTCTTGATGGAAGCATGGGGGACCTGGCCTGTAGAACACGAGTGTGAGAAACCAATGCCTGCCCCTCACCCGCCATATGGTGGTGTGGGCAAGAGAGAGAAGCTCCCCCTCAAGGCCTGTGATAGGTGGGAGAGCCACCCCTGAGGTCACTAGAGTAAGAAAGCTAGCCCTGCTCCTCATCATCTATAGCACTAGGCAGGTTGGCCCCTACACCTCAACTAGGCAACACAGTAGAACTGCCCTTATGGCATAGATGTGGGTGAGCCAACCCCAAGGATATGAAAGCAGGAGAATCAGCCCCACCCTTGCGCTTACTACATAGGGTAAGTTAGGAGGGGCAGTAGGATGGGAAGGGGCTGAGAGATGAGTGGGATTGAGATGTATGATGTGAAATCCACAAAGAATCAATGGAAAGTTAAATTTGAAAAGAAAAAAAACC